TTTAACGTTGCGACGATGTTCTCGAGTTCTCCGCCTGCTCACGGTCCGTTGTTACCTTTTTAATCTCGCGAGCTCCTTCCCGGGGAAATTATATACGGGTAGGTAGTATCGATAGGGTAACCGTGAAACGATTAACCAGGTGTAGATATCGATATCTTTGGTTCTCCCCGCCGATTCTCGGATAATTTACGCATCCTTTTGCAACGGGACGGGGTAAAGTGTTTACTTACGCTCTTGCGATTTTTACGACTCTCCCATCGCTGCAGGAATCTATATATTCCACCGTTGTTATGGACCCTTAAAAACTTCTTGTTCGGGTACATGGTTGGTATATCCCGGCCCCCTGCGATCGGTTAACATCCCGGAAACTTTGGAACCCCGTGAAATGCTCTGTCTGCGTCATCGGGGCTCGTATATTCAGCGTCAGCGAGCATCTGCGTCAGGAATACCCGGAGCTACCATTAAGCTGCGTCTACACTATACAGAGTGAACCACGAATCGTGATCAGTACGGAATGTTTTTATCAGGTATATCATGGTTTCAAGAGAGCTTTAACGTGATTACAGCAAATTTTTTGTCAACTCTTTTTTTTTCATGATTTTTCAAGGTCACCTTCAATTTTTTGCAAATACACCTATAATTTTCTTACGCCTATCTGTTAGAGGATTTCAAGACAAATTCGGTAAGCATCATGACATAACATGTGTTACTTTTTTTTCATCTGGGTCGAGAAAAGATTAAAGAAATATTCGAACTGTAATATTACAAAGAGTATCGTATGCTACGTCATTGTACGCGTTCCGATGTTGAGCTCTTGCCTACTGTTTGTAAACTGTTCTGTACACTGAAACACACGTAATGATATCTACTAATCACGATTCGTGGTTCACCCTGTATAGCAAAAATGTGGTATATAACAGATTGTAATATAACTTTGTTATACAACATGTTTGTATAACTTGTTACAAGAGTATACCTTTTGGACGAGTCTGTAACAAGTTTGATCATCATAGTTGATGGATAACACATAATTTGTTATATAACATGAAAAATATTATGTAATATCATATTATATAACATTTCACTTTGTGTTTCTCTAACAAGATTTATGAGTTTGCTGTATAACGATTTAGGTTACATAGTGTAGACGAAGCTTTACGTTAGACGGCCCGTCCCGGCCGACGGGAATGGCCGACGCGTTATTACGTTCCCGTGGAGGACGACTCCGCTCGTTAAATTACCATGAAACGTTCTTCACCGCGAAGAGAAAGAATTTGTTCCGTCGATTTCACGAACGAATCTTTTGAGGCTCGAGTCCTCCAAACAAGTAACCATTTAACTGCTATAAAACTTTAAATGCTCTAAAAATGCACGACTAGTTTCATTGTCAGATATTATTATTCAGTTCGTTGCGTGAATTAGGCTGCGTATTTAATCTGTTCACAAATTCAACAGATTCGGAATTTGTGATGAACACACAAGGTTGAAGTAAAGAACAGAAAAATTGGGAAAAATTACGTATAAAATATACACTTCAGAAACGGACTCTTTGTCGATAGATAGTAATTTCTGATTAAACGTGATGGGGAAATAATAACAAATGTACTGAAGAATGTTTATGCTCCCGAGACATAAACAAAGAATTACGTGGATTGGTGAACAGAGTTCACCAGCACGCCTGCTGATATTTTGTCTTGCCCTTAAACACATAAATCTCTCTTTTTTTTTTTTTTTTTAAAACTTGTATATAAAATCAAATTACATGTCACTATGATAAATGAAATTCTCCGTGAATTTCTCTCTTCACACAATATTGACCAACCCTGTATTCTAATACGATCTCCATGAAACAATATATTTCATCGGCATTCTTTTTACATCTGTCCTCCCAGACCCTCGACAGATTTTCTGTTCGATAGAACCGTAGTATCCGAAATTTTCCCCGTAATCGTTCGATCTTAAAATCACCGAGTAAAACAATTTTCCATGAACAGAGAATATATCCGATCTTCTCTTTCCGCAGTAAAACGGATCCCGCGTTTGATCCGTGTCGTTTAACGGCCCTTCCACAGGTCCTATCAAGTCAGCAAGATTTCATCGTAAACGCCCCCGAGGATCGACGACGTTCGTTCGGTTCAGGGCTTATCGCAACCTCTCAACGATCATCCCTCTTTTCTCTCTCGCCGCCCTGCTTTTTTCCCTCCCTCCCTCTTGGGTCACCCGGTTGGCTAGCTCGGCGTTGTCAGGACAGAGACAAAGCTTCTCGACATAAATAATTTATCCAGGAGGCAGGCTTCGCGTTAGCAACGATGTGTGTGTGTGTTGCATTAAATATGAAATCCAATATAAAGTTTTGTCGGTTGCGGCGAGCAGTTTCGTCCCTTCTTCGCCTCGCAACCAATTACATGTACAAGGTGGTCCACCTATCGGTAGCCACCTAAATATCTCCTTCAATTGCGATTACATGCAAAATGTGTTATGCAATTTGAATGGTGTCAAAAGACGAATACGCTGCGAAGAATATTTTTTCCGAGTTTTCAAGGTTACCAACGTTTTTGTTTGCATATGAGTGAATATTGCTTTGTTAATGATATGATCTTGAATTGGCCTTTGACAGAAAAAAACATCTCAGTCTCCTGGTGACTGCATACAATTAAACCCTGAATTGTTATCGGTGATTAATCCTGTATCCTTCGGGCGTTTACATAAAAAGTACGGTTACCGCGCGGAATGTTTACATCCTTGATAATTTTGTATTATCGACCGTTTCAATCCCCTCGCGTCCCAGCCTGTATTTTGATTTGTTTCGCGCCAGAGAGAATATGAATTAATTCGCAAAACAATTAATACGCTGTCCGGTGAATGTTGTCCCGCTATGTTCGAAGGCGTTTTAATTGGGAAATTGTTTTGCAATCGAATCCCGTGAGACGCTTTAACGGGGGTGAGGTTAAATGAAGAATTGTGTTGTTAATATAGAATGTGTACGTATATAGTCTGTTCTTGTCATAATGAAAGAGATTACTGATAATTGGAAGAAAAACATCCTTGGTACCTGGTACTAATGCAATGTACCATTTTTGTGGTCGTGTCCGTTCGACCTTCTCGCAATTGTATTGCTACCCCCACGTTTCTCACAGAACAAAAAGAAGCTACTCATAGCCTGTACAGCAAATACGTTCAGTTCTCACCTGAAAAATAGTACCTACGCATCAGATCGAACGATTGTTCCTTCTTCCAGAAAAAGGTAACGAAGACGCTGTGCTCGAAACTCTACGTACTTTCCGAACGGCCTAATTAAGATCATTTCATCAATCACTAACGGTAGGCTATAATACAGAAGATAAATTTTTATCATAAAATTTTATTTGTACATGTGTTAAAATTTTACTTACGTGGCAATGTAATATTTTACCGATCTAAAGTTTCTGTTGGGAAAACTAACGCAACAGTTTCGGATAATACTTTTCCGTGGTATCGCAGTCGCCGAAACCGACGTCAATAACTGCATACCAGTTCCTCTATAGAACCGTGAGCAGACGGGAGAGTAAAGCGCGCATCGACGTTCAATCGTATACGTTGTTACGAATATCGATGCAGGACGGCGTGAACCCCCATGGGTGCAGCTGCGCGTCGGTGCCCTCCGGATTTCCATCAATCCTCCAGCAACTGCGTTCATTTTCTATATTTTTTTAATATCAAACTTTCACCGTGTATCCGAAAACGATATTGTAACAAAGAGGGGAGCGATCTGTTCGACAGAATTTCAAAGCGAAAACCGCCCGAGTATCCGCGTACCATACGAAAATTTCGTGACTACCATCGACTGCTATGAAAATTACGACAGAGAGAAGAAGGACTTCATGAATATTTCCGGGAGGGATTAAGTAGCTGGAGTCACTTAACGACAACAAAAAAATTTGCTCACAATGCGGACGAAATAAGCTTTAGAAGATGCAATATGTGGTGGCCCGATTCACCGCGACCCAAATGGCTCGGAAAAAGGGTCGAGTCAACAAAGATCCAAGCCGAGGCCAAGTAGTTCAAGCTCTCTGCCTTCCACATCCCTATGGCGTCTCTGTGCAGAACAATGCCTTCGATTAGGCAATTTAACCAAAACTGAGACTTCAATTTTCATCCCTCCGTAGGCAATGTGTATCGTCGACCGACACAAGCGAAATTTCGTTATTCCAAGACTTTCCTCCAAATTTTTATTCTTATTGAGAAATGTTTCCAACGTCTACTTGACGAACGATTGTATAATGTAGCAGATACTTCGATAAGTATCTTAGAATTTTTTCAGATTTTCTGAAAATCTAAAACCGTATAAAAATTAGGCTTGGGTGTAAACGACCCAGTTTGCCTACGGAGTTGCGAAAAAATATGTTCACCTATAAAGGGTTAATTATATTATTCATCAGAGAAAATTATTAATTAATTCAAAAACCAGTACGATGAAGCTATACACAAGTATATTTCCTTAATTCGATTCTAGTTAAGACCAGATTTAATTCAAGGAGTACTAACGCAAGAATTTTTTATGAATAGTGCACAAGGGTGAAATTGTCAGACTTAATCGATACCATGTAGCCTTTGATTTAAATCATTATGACTGTCTGACATTTATCGAATCAATTGTACACACATTTCGTCATACAAAATAATTTGATAATCTTCGTTACAACAGAATGACACTGTCGTACCACGAACGTATCAAAGGTTCCGCAACGACCAAACCCCAGCCACAGTTGCTCGTAAGTTCCGAAGGAATCCAATTTACCCTGTTCACCTTTCCCCGTCGCTAATTTCCCTCGTTACATTTTTACAGATCCTTTTTTGGAATTCAATGTAAATTACACAATATTTTCGACCCTATTACCAGCATTTATCCAGGGTGAACCGGCGGAAGGGGGTTGGTCGGGGCTGCTCCGTTGCTCGTACCGTTTACTTAAGCGACGCTCGACGGGCGTAAAACTCATTTCGCTTATTTCTCGCTTTTTCAGGATGCAGAGACAAAGCCGGAGTAGCTCGGAGGTGGAGGTTGCGCTTATGCGCCCCGTAAGCACCGCTGGCTAATAGCACCACGGCCCATCCCTGACACCCTGCAGCCACACCAGGTACGACGGATATATACATACCTCTTTATGTTTCTCTCTTTTATGCATCGACCGTTCCATACGTCATTTTACGCCCGTGGCCGGTTTTACGGCAAATATACCACCCTTGCTTTTGACCGCGAACAAAGCCGGGAGCCACGTCCCCCGTTATACAAGGTGAAACAAAGAAAGGGTTCATAACTTTTGGAGCAGATGTCGAATGAAGAAAAAGTCTTAATAAACATGGGTCGAAAAATTAATATTTTCAAAGTTACAAAAAATTTTTTTTTGTTTCGGTTATACCGCGTGATACTCTTCGGGAGCTATCGGTACCGTATGGAGGCAATGAAGAAAATTGTAAAAAAGCAAACAAAGATTGTCGAAACCTTCCGTAATCGGGAAAAAGATGATAAGGTAATCAATTGTTCAAAAAATATTTAAAAAAATGTGTTCATCAGTCTTAAAATGACCGTTGGTTCTTGGTTTTATGAAACAAATTTTTTTACACGAGATACCAAAAAGATCCACTGAGCGGGTTAACTAAGATTGGGCTCGCTGATGAATTCTGAGCGAAGGGAAGCTACTTTGCGATCGTTTGAACGGTTTAAAACGTGTTTACAATGGAGGGCGTGTAATTCTTCTTCAACGAGGCGCTGGAATATTACCGAATTTAATAGAAAGGGGCAGAAGAAGTTGCGAAACTAATTTGTAATTAATTCTTTGCGATGATTCTACACGAACCGTCGATATTGGGGTCACCGAAATCTCCAGAACCAGTCTGTGAATTTCGGCAATGCATCCACTCCACGGATCCCCAATTTTCGTTCTGTAGAGGGGACCACCCGAGTTGCAACTTGCCCGATTCGCTCAAACAAGCCTCCGAGAGCGGAAAATTTATGCACAGACTTCAATGGGTCAAAGAGGGACCCTCCGCGACGTAGATCACAGGTAGAGAGAGAGAGAGAGAGAGAGAGAGAGAATCATTCGGTAAACTAAATTACGATCGAGTGGGCCTTCTCGTTTTGCAGTCTTTAATATATATCTGCTTCCGATCCCCTCGGATCGGACATGCCCCGGAAGCTGGAACGACGATCGATTTACCGGTTTCGTGTTCGCGCGAATAAAACAAGTTTTTCAGACGGGAATAAAGGGAGGAGGACGACTCACGCGCGAGGAAATTGCCGTAATTGAAACGCGTGTGCGCGCGATGGAAGTGGAGCAAGGACGAGGATCTAGAACTAGCTACTCGAACGATTTGTGGTCCCTGGAGGGAATGGGACTCGGTGTAATTTCAAGCGATAGAGGGCACGTGGAACGCCGTCGTGCCTGCGTTCATACGGCCGAAGCCGATACCAAGGACAGGTCCCGTTCCGATTAAACTTCCACCGAGAGATCCCAGACTAATTCATACCACGACCCGTGTGATATTCATGAATCTGACATTCGAAGCATCACGAATATTTCATGCGACCGTTCCTGCGACGATCCTGTGTCCCTGACGAAATCACGTTTCCGTAACTGCGCGCGGGTGACGGAGAAACCGAAGACACGAGCAGTTAACGAATTCGCCTTGAACGATGCACCCTCGGGGAGTATGTAGACGGTAAATGAATGGGTTTCTAGGAGAAGGATATATGCTACTACAGATTTTTAAACACAGTGATTTTTATACACAATTTTGTGTTTGCAAAAAAAGTAACTTTTTCATTAGTGGATTATTATTTATTTTTCAAAGTGTTTGAAGGGTGTATGTTACTACACCATCTTGTTTTTACGTTTTGCTGTACATTTTATGAAATGTAACATACGCTCTTCTTCTACACACTCGATCAATTATTATTCTGTGGATAATAACGTTTATTTGAATAGTAACAGTCAGAGAATAACTTAGGATCTGTACCTCGTTCGGTGAATTGAATCGTTAACTATACTGCCCTGTTAAGGGTAACTGACGTATCTGTAAAAACCTTGTTTCGAGAAAAGAGCAATTTAGTACTTTTAATAATGCCAAGCATATGTTAAATGTTTTTTTTTTTGTAATAAACAAAGTACTAAACTTCCCCATCGATTCCATAACTCGCAGCAAGCCAACATCGTCGAACAAAAGACATTCCCCGCACCTTTCGAAGATGTTCCAGCCAAGATCGCGTGGTTCCCGATCGGAATTGATAATTCCGAAAGGTGGAAAATCGTTTGCGATCACGGACGCTCCGTATTTGGTGTTGGTCGGTTCGCGTAGGATAAACGCGAACGAGCCGCACCCGGGTGAAATATCCCCGGCCCCATATAGCCTGTTTACGATAATAGCCGGCTCGTCGATTTACAGTAATTTTACACGCGCCTAATTAGCAATTCCGATCGGAGGTCGGCTCGGGGCTCGTCCGTTCGGTTCGGCCGCGCAGCAGCACGCCTTTCGCAACCGGTTCGTTCGGTTCACCGATAATCTACCTGGATATCGCGGCGTGTGCGCCATGCTGTGTTCATTTTTCCAAATGAAGCGAAATAGAATAAAGTCTTTATTCGCAGCGAAGAGAGCAGCAACAGCAGCAACGACGGAAAAGCGAGGTGAAGCGAGAGGAGAACGTAAGCGCATAAAGGATTGTTTGAAAACGTAAATACGCGGGTAACCGAGAGTGGCGAGACCGAAGCGGCAAGAAGCAAAATGTAAACTCGCGGGAAGCGAAGGAGAGAGAGAGAGAGAAAAAGAGAGTGGATGGAACCGCGGAGGCGCCGAGGGGTAAAATTAAATAATACAGAAAGGCTGAGATTACGCGAATGTTCCCGTTTATAAGGCAACGACGGGAACGACCCGCCTAGGATAAAAAGAGCAGCTGCACCAGACCCTACCGCGCTCAGAAAAGCGCACAAACCGCGATGAACTGGCTGGGAAAACGCTGCGACGTTACGGCGAAAGAGAGTAAAAGTATCTGACACGCGGATACAAGTTCAGGACCCATTCTTGCGATCGTTGCTACGCTCGTGGTGATTATTCGAAGTATTGAATGCGCTTCTGACGAGACAAATCGAATTGTTTTCGCCGTTCAGGGTTAACACGGTTTTCAAATATTAATTTCTGTGCGATTTGTTTTTATCACAGACTTACTAAATTGGAGAAATTCGCAGCTTAGAGATTGAGTATTCGATAATTCAAAACTCCGTACTCCAGTATTCGGTAATTCACAGCTCAAAGCCTCGGTATTCGGCGATTCAGAGCTCAAAACCTCGGTATTCGTTAATTTAAAGCTAGAAACTTCAGTATTCGACAATTCAAATCTCGAAACCTCAGTATTTGGCAATCCAGAACTTGTTCCTTCGAAAAAGTCTTCGTGATCTCGATCATTTCCTTATAGTCGTATTTCAAGCTCCAGAATCTGCGGTGTCTCTTCTGCTCGAAAAGGGTAAATCGTCCAAGAGAGTCCACATGAGATCCCAGTTAGGTCGCGACAATGAGCTATAAAGTTTCAGCAATCGTGTGGAGGGATGGCCCAGCGTGTTTGCCGGGTGCCGTTTTTCTCCCAGTGGCGCGCGGCTCGAGACGGTCCCCGTCGGCTCGAGGGAACAAATTTATTCGCGTTTCATCGGCCCTAAAGCGCGGCTGTCACGGAGACCGGCCGAAGTGCTCTCCATCCAACGTATAACCGTTTCGATGTTCCCTCCACCCTCGCCGCGCCGCCTTTTCATTTTCGCTCTTTTATCGACGCGTCGGGACGTCCCCTGGAACAGGACGCCTCTGAAGCTAGAGATCGGCACGATCCGTGAATGGAAAATGTCGCATTATTTCGCGGGAGTGGCGAATTGTTGCTTGGTGTCTAACAGTGTTGTTGCCTTTATTAGCGACGAATTGGTACGGGGAAACCTGGGCAAAGCCAAATAGCGAGGCGAAGTGAATTATTGTTTTGCACATGTTGTTCGTAGGGGCATTGTAGCAACTATTCTGAGAAGTATCTAACGAAAGGAGGTCACTATAATTTGCGAGACTTTTTTTTGCCCCAGTTCCCATATTTATACTGTGGTGACAGTCGACTAGTAGTGTAGCTTTCCGTGTCAGTGCTTTGCACACTCACATTAGCTTCTATTCTGAAGATATTCTGCCAAATGTTTCCGTGTGTCTGCGTGGAGGAACTTGGAAGTGGTGTAACGTTTGCCTTCCTGATAGCTACTGGATACATAATACAATAGAGATTGTGTATTTTACGTGTAAATACACTCAATTTCCCTGCCAATTTGGGAATCGAGGTAGTTCGAGAAGCGTCGCGAAGTCTGTACGGTGCCGCCACGCAAATCCGAGGCTCGCTCGAACCACGAACTTGATCGTGCGATCTGGAGTCGAACAGAAGCTACTTGAAGCGACTCTGTGACAACACTCACTCTGAGAAGTTCTGTTACAATTTCGACAGTAATAGAAATGTACAGGTGTGCCATCAGTAATATACGTTTCGTTATGTGTAAGTACAGAATAGATCTAATTACTTTCGATAAGAAGACAGTTACCAATCTGCTGAATTAATCGTCCTACGATCTAATACAGCCACGCCAATTCCCAAGGATCATAACAGGCGACGTGAAAACCCCAGAACAGAAATAAACAGCCATATGTAACTCCCAAAGGAAGCTTCCATGAATCATATAAACCTCTACGTTCACCATTTCCGTGCTTCTAGCCCCACGATCCAAACGTCTGAAAAACCTGCATAAAAGTCCGCATGATACCACTCTCGAATTCATGTGCGCGCGTTCTATTCGAGGGTCACCGGTGGTATACTATACGGTGGCACGAATCCGGTAAAACGGGATCGTAAAAAGACACTCGAGTCCTTCGGAGCTGTCCCGTTACCATGCTTTCGTCTCTGGACGAGATGAACGTGTTACCTGCAGATGACCTGTGTAGTAGTTTGATAGGCGGTCCTAAACGTCCGCAAGAAACAGGTATACATATAATGACGGCATCTTCTTCAAAATGCGGATGAGAACAATGCGTATCTTAATTCCATGTGGTTGTAGTCTCGATAGTGTCTTGATAA